CACGATGTAAAATTATTAAGTGCTTATCAAATATAATAATCTAATAACTATATGTAAATCACTATAAATTTTAAAATGATCTCCTTATACTAAATACTACCTAAAGGTATAAAAGAAGTTTCTATTAGGGCACACCCCATCACCAAAGAGGGAGAGCTTAAATGACTAGCTAGAATGCGAAAGTTTTTTTTTTTTTTCACACCATGGAATATGTATTCCAATTAATATATGTTGGAAGGGTGCAGTGTCCCAAGTTTTGAGAAAGCGTGTTGGCCTAGCGAGACAGGCATCCTCTTTGACAAATGTGGACGCATTTAAGTCAATAAAACCAGATGGCCGGGACTTCTAGGAATAATAATCAATCAAAACCCCGCAAAACCATTAGAGCCTAGCTAGGGAAAGTCGTTCCCAACTTTCACATCTCCTGATCAGCTGAGTTTCTCTAAACGAGTTACCGTGGCCAACCTAGTAGCCGTCAGATCATCTCCTGTCACTCTCATTCTTCATGTTACTATGTTAGAGAATGTGCCAATTAACATGTTAGATGATAAGGGTGATTATTAATCAAGCGAATTCAGAATTTAATTAACATTATATATGTGAATAACCCACATGACACACTTTATTAATTGCTACTATCTATCAACTAAGATCAGTTTGGATTATGAAAACTATAGCCTACACCCTAGGCTAAAACCCTAGTTATAGTATTCACATGGTCTGAATTCTTCAGCTTCGACATGTTTCAATTTTTTATATTTTCCTTTAGCAGAGTAAAAAAAATGGTTTCTGTTTGTCCCATAGTTTTCATGTATATGAAATCTTTAGATTAAATGATTCACTTAATTGAATGGTGAAGCATGGCAGCATGCCTATTTAGTTTAATTTTGGGGACGGTTTGGTAAATTTGAAGCTCTCCAATCCCATGGCAGAAAGGAAGAAAAGAAGTGAAGGGGGGAAGGGGGGGCATGGGCTGGCACAACAGTTGCAGAACAAAGCAATGAAGATGACTGAAAGCAACTGCACCAATTTAATTCAAAAGACAATTGAATCTTAGCATTAACAGAGAAGGTACAGAAGAAGAAAACACAAGAAAATAAACAAGAGCATTAACACTAGCCTTTCCTCTGTCTTCCTTTTCTCATTCTCTTGACCATTTGCTAAAGCTACACTGTCTTAAAAGCCTCATTTAAACATCACTGAAAAGGCTAAAGCCAATGCTCTCTCATTCACTATAATAATTCAAAAAAGAAACAAAAGCTGGTAACACAAAAAAAAAAAATTCTTACAGTCATTTTCTTACTTGAATTCTAGCATTAAAAACATTGTAGTAACTGAGACAGTACAAAGAAAAAAAAAAAAAAACCTACCACCGGTTTTCTCCCTAGTTGTGCAGAGGATTAGGACCTGTATGAACTATCCTCTTATCATCTCCATATACAGTATCTGGATCACCTTCATTTCCACCAAACTGAGCTGAGCTTGACGGAGCATGAAAAGAAGTAGTGTCGAAAAACCGGGCTTTCCTTGGGGGAGACCTAAAAGAATGATGAGCACTTCTGGCTTCTTCATGAACAGCAAAATGCAGACCGAACTGAGAAAAAATCAAGATAATCCACAAGAAGAAAACTCTAGCTCTAGCTCCACTATATCTGCCCCCTCTTGTTTTGACTCCTCTAAAAATTGTCATTGCACTCACCGTTCAGTTCAATCGTGGTGGCGCCCAACTGGAGAAACAGTATAGCTTTGGAGCTTTAGACTTTGAAAGAGAGGACCATTAAAGGCCAAATGGGATTATCCTAACTTGCTCTATATAGTGTAAAAAAGAAGTGGGCTTTGAGTTACTTCTCTGAATCTCTCAAAGCAGTAGAAACTTGGTTAGCTAATAAGCTATAGCTAGAGGCTACCTCTCTTTTGAGTCTGCGAATTTGAGAAATTTGAGAGAAAACTTTTGAACTTTGGGTGCTCCTTATCTTATGGGGCTGGCCACATGATCTTGGCCCTTGATTCCTGGAACCTTCTTTATATATATATATATATATATACACACACACACACACACACACACACACATATATATTTCCCTTCTGAAATCTTTGGACTTTGCACCTTTAACTCTCACACCACCACTGCTCGCGTTTTCTTTGCTATTAGGCATCCGTTTTATTTATTTTTTTTCACTGATCAATGTTACTGGGAGAGGGTGCTGTGGGACTGTCCAGCATTGATAGCCGTTGTCTGCGGGAATATATTCAAAATTTGATGGATGAATTTATATATATTTATATATATGTATGTATGTATAAGGATTGGTAAAATATAACATGAAGCTCTTGTACGTATTTTACCAGTACCCACCATTTCTTTGTCCCAGTAAGTTGTTCAATTGATTTCTGCGTTTTTCTCATCTGTGTCAAAGTTTCCTCTCTTATGATGTCTGAAATACACATTCTGTTTTTGTGCTTCCATTTCTCAATTGGTCTCACCCCTTTCTTTATTCAGCTAGCTATATGGTTTGACTAGCTAGCATGTTTGAGTGTCATCCAGCTTATGATTTCCATTTTATTTTTTTTTTTTGCATTAATTGCCTAGAGTAAGCAATGATGGAATTGTTATAGTTCAGCTTAAAATTAACCTTACAATAAGAATTTTGGGCATGTAATAATGGAGATTCATATCTAATAAGACAAATTAACATTAATTTTTATGCGATGGTGGTCAAATATTGCAATCATACATTTTTTTTTTTTTTGTTATATCAGGAGGGCAAAACTCTAATATAAGTAAAGAGAACGAGGAGATTTAGTTCGAAATCAAGTTTTTGATATCTTTTTAAGTGCCTTTAATTACTAAATTAAAAGTTTGAGAATGTAATAATATATTTACGATTTAAGAAATGCATTTAATTAAGATTCAATTAATTCTCTTTTAACTATTTTGCTTTTTGGTTCAATAGATTTTAATTTTTTTAATGGGATAAACCTCGCCATATTTGTCCAAATTGGAGTAATCATAACCCCTTCCTGTAATTTCACCCTTAAAAGAAGTGGAGATCCGTCGAGACCAAATTAAAGGTTAATCATCTAATTAAGGTTTAAAGGGTCCTTATAATACCGAAAAATCCAAGCATAGAATATATCTTTTGATGTGATGAGAACACTTCCCTCAAGCTGTAAAATGAACTGTGCTTTTCTTGAAGTATCTTTCTAGCACTTAAAAAGGATCGATTTTGTGCATGCTTTAATTGGTAACCTCATAAGAGTAAGTGCTTGTGTTTCTAAGCAGTCACGAATGTTATCTTTGCATGAAATAAAATCAAGAAAGCAATAAAAGTTTTAGACTTCGTTTAACTTTGAAAATTGATAGCCTAGAGGTGTTTATGAATTAAATCAGATTAGGTTTGAGTCAAATTTATATTTGATATTAATAATTTATGTATTCGTTTAAATTAAGTTTGATCCAAATTTTTGAATCTCAAAATTTTCCTAATTTCGATCCAAATTAAAAAAAAAAATTTCAAATCCATCTTTTAAATTTAATTTAAATAATAAAAATTTTAAAATAATTAAATTTAATTTAATGATACTATATTTAATTTACATATATAAAAATTAAAAATATAAATTATATATATTAAAAATAAAAATTATATATAAATTAATTTATATATATATATATGTTCAAATCAAATCAAACTGAATTCAAATTTTAAAATTTTTATTTAAGATTTGATTCAAAATTTAAACGAAATAAGCCAACCCAGATTTAACCTAACTAAGCAGATCATGGGGTAGTTGTTATTGTTTTGACATGCCATAAGCCAGCTAGGTGTCCCATTCACAATCTAGGAGCTATTACACTCACATTCAATGGACAAGAAAACGGTGAGACACTGACTGCTCCATGGCGATTGAGGAATCACAGCTAAACCTAAAATCACTATTCTTCTAATTATATTGCTTTTCATCCAAATCTGAAATGTGATAGTAATTAATCGGTTAATGCAGCCAAATTTGGATCTTAAATGGCAAATATATATGTTTTAATTTCTAAACTGTTATTTTAAATTAATTTTTTTATATTATCATTTTAATAATAAATTTTATTTATAAAAACCAATTTTAGTTTTATTTAAATCGTTGTTTTATAATAATTCTTTAAATAAGTATTAATTTTTTTTGTAATATAAAATATCTTAATTTCACAAAATAATTTTTTATAATATTTAAGTGTGTGGAATTCTATTTTTAAATTCACTTATTAATTAAAATTTTATTTCTTTATATTTTATAATTATTTTTTGAGAAAATTTATATTTTATAATTATAATTTAAAAATATAAATTTAAGCAAAATCCTAATGCAATAATTAAAACATAATAATTAGATAAACTAATTTACATACATGTTTAAACGAATATTACTAAAAGTAGATTCAAGTTATTGACTTTAGACACTCTTAATGAATAAATACATGTGTTAGAAGTAACGAGAGGACTTAACTATATATTTATAATAAAACCCTAATAGCCCCCATAAAATATTTTAGGATTCTCTTGTATATAATATTTCATATTAAACTAACTTATCATCCTATTTTATTAAATCATAAAACCACCAAATATGAGGCGAGCGACTGAAAAATTTTAACATATAAGTAAACATTACAAATACAATCTAACAAAAATAAAATCAAAGAAGAAAAAATTTTGACCATCAAAAATCAAAGTATTTACAGGGTAGTCAAGCATTAATTTATAAAGGAAAAGCAAATGAGGCCCAATGTTAGGTTAAAACTTATAAGTTAGCCCAAAAGGGCATATGTTCAGCCATCCAGGCTCTTTTAACGGGCCAAGATGTATGGACTTCAATCTCAAAAATTCGCAACTATCTGAGACCGGGTTTCCCTCTTTATTCAAAAGTCTCGAGGCTAGGCCTGCCAACCTTCATTCTCCAGCCCATTTAATTATAAAAGAACATAACAAGGCCATGCAAAGGGAAGGGGAGGGGAGGGGCGTGGGGAGTAACGTATCGATTAGCAAAGGGGAATATGCGGACAGTCATATGAAGAAGATTCGTGAGTCATGCGCATCTTCCTCTTCCTGATGCTGCTTTTTTCTTGCCTTCAAACAACTCCCCATTCCTCACCCTTTCTATTTCTAACTGAAAATCAAACTATATAATTATATCCCTCCCTTCTCTTCTCTGCTCGCCACATCTTCCCTTCCCAGGTATGTATATATACATATTCTATCTCACTTTCGCTCTTTTCGTAAATAATGCATTTAGTATATTTCTGTAGGGAATTATTGTTTTATTCTTCAAGATGTTCAGTTAGTTTCCATTTTTTTGAAGTTGAGATGCTTCTTTTACTTGTTTTGGCTTAGGGTTATTCTTTGGTGTTTTGGTTGCTATTCTGGTTGGGTTTTTTAAATGCTGTTTTAATTGGTGTATAGGTCGAAGTTGTTCATTAGCTTTTTGCTTTTATTTCTGAATCAAAGCCATACAACAAATGGGTGCTGCTATTTTTTTTCCTTATAAAGGCTGTTATTGGATAGAATAACTCTATCATTTGTTTTAGAGGATACTTGTTTAACTAATCTTCCCTTGATGTTCAATAAACTATTGGCTAGCCAACTATATCTCTCAATAATTCATAGGACATGTTTGACTCTTCAATATAGTGTTTGGTAAAAGCCTTATCCTATGCTTAATTTGTTGAATGCGATTTCAACATATATTGCTGCTTTTTCGTTGTACATAGATTAAGCATAGAAGTTGTACCTCGCACTCTTCTTCCGACTGTTGCCAGCAAGTTCTTGCTGGCAGGTAAAGTGGCTTGCGCAATCTTTTGAGGATTATGAGTCTCCAGAGAGCATTGAGACCTAGTAAAGCCTTGGAAGGTGTACATGGGGTGCAAGTGGTTCCTCATTCACCATTTGCATTGGAGGAGATTAACCAAAATGGGGACTTCCAGTCCACTTATGATAAATCATTTATTTCAGCAAATCAACCACTATTGATGCAGTAAGCTAAAAGAAAAACTTATCCATCAAAATTTTTTCTCTTCGAAATATTGTTACTCAAAAAAACTTCATGTTGATCTGTTTAAATCCTATCTATCCATTTATTGTAGATAGTCTGATGTTTACCTGCGACCGACTATAACATAATGCTTATTCATGTTTTTCAGAGTATGGCAGCAGAGACCAGCTTGTTTAAGGCCTGTACGATATTGTTGTATGCAGGGTATGGTAATAAGTAATAATAGTATTTATTTTCTTATGGAATCTCTCTCTCTCTCTCTCTCTCTCTCTCTCTCTCTCTCTCTCTCTCTCTCTCTGTTTGTGTTTCTTTGTGTATGTCTCAGCTCTCCATTCTATTATATAAGATTCTTTGCGTATGCTGATCTTTGAAAACTTTCAGTAGGGGACCAGAATCTTCTAGAGACCGTTGCCAATGTGTTGACATCACTTCCTTTTATTGCTCTTGGGATCCAGGCCCCAAGGTAATATTCTCTTTAATTTGCTTCATAAACGACAATATCTATCCCATATGACCATTTCTTATTAATATTTTGTTTACCTGGATGCAGGAAAAATTTGAAGACTAAACTGTATGCAAATTCACTAATTGGAGTTGGAGTTGCCTCTACTTTGTATCATTCTTCCAGAGGAAAGCTGAGGAAGTATTTAAGGTGGGCTGACTATACAATGATTGCCACAGCAACTGTGGTAAGTTTAAACTGATTCATAATTCTTTAAGAGTATGACTGAGGCAAAATTATCAATATGCATAAATTTTGGAAATACGGCGAACTTGAATTATACTTACAAAGGTTGTGTTGATATCTAGTAAACTGAATAAGATGCTTCAGAATAGTAACATTATTGTTATTGATTTTATTGATCTAAAAAAAAAATGAATGTTAAATAATTGCTAGTATGCTGCATCTTAAAACTTGATTGAGAACACAATGCTACCTGCTGAAACTCTACTTCTACAGTTGTACTTTTCAAATTGCTCAGTCAGATTCGAAATTTTAAAACTGAAAATCCTTTTTGCAGTGTCTGTCAAGAGCTCTTAGAAATGAGAACCCAAAGTTACTAATGGCAGCTTCTGCTTTGCTTCTACCTGTCCAGCCTCTGATGGTTTCTGCAGTTCACACTGGAATGATGGAGGTAACTAGTTGGTTATGTCCTTGGAAGTTTATTAAATTAAAACAACCTGGGGATCCTATTCTCTTTTTTTCCATTATAACTTGTTGCTATTTATTCGATGGGGATCAAAAGAGCTACATGGTTTCAAGTACCTTTATCATGTTATAGTTTTATTCACCTCTCTGATGGAATTAAGTTAAGCTAAGAGGTTAATTACCCAAATTTTAGTTTCAGCATTTTGGTTTTCAGTGGAAGCAATGCCCAGTGTAGAACTAAATTTATGCGGATAATAGTTCCATGTAGTATAAGTTTGATCTTTTTGTTGTCTGAATCCGTGACTGCCCAATCATTGCTCCAGCTTGACAGTATAATTGATCAAGTTACCTTCTAGGCCTAAGCAGTGTTTATACCGAAACCTTTTCCTTGTCATTCATCCATTCCAGGTAGCATTTGCAAAGAAAGCATTAAAAGATCCGGAACTAAGGATGGCTCACAATGTGCATAAGATGTCATCATTGTTGGGAGGTGTTCTTTTCATTGCAGATGATTTGTTTCCTAGGACTCCTTTCATGCATGCTGCATGGCATCTTGCCGCAGCTGTTGGTGTGGGCACCTGTAACAAGCTTCTTGAGTAGTGTAACAACGATTAATTCCTTAGTATTCATTCATCCTGAGAGCTGAGAGAACGAAATTACTTTGTTTTCCTAGTTTATACACCAGTATCAGGTATAAAATAAGGTGCAATTTTTGCCTTCGACCAGCATGATTGAACTTAAACCCAAACTGGGTTCTTTTTTTTTTTTTTCTTTTTTCCTATCATTATGATTATTTCCCCAGATCAGATGTAGTATCATGTATATTCATTATGAACCACTGTCGATATGTAAAACCAGGGATATTGTAATTAAACTCTTACCAAAAATATTTATATTTGGCTGCTCAAGAACAATGAGAAGTCTCAGTTTCTTTTTCTTTTTTTTTCCTTTTTATTATTATTATTATTATTATTATTATCTGAATTAAAATATCTCGTAATGATAAAAAGCTTCACAGATATTGCTAAGTCTTTTGAAGGTAATAGCTTATTAAAAAAAATAGGCAATATACTAAGCTATTTATACAGTATAGCTTTCGAAAGGATAGTTGTTTTTTGCACCGACCACCGAGCTTTTTCATGCCACGCTTCCTCTATTCCAGAATTTCACGCTTCAACTATACCTGGAGCTCTTTCTTTCTAGTTAAGGTGTACATTGTACTATGATTTAACTTTGAGATATTTTCTTGATTTTTTAAATTATCCAAATTTTGCTAAAATCTTTATTCCAACTTGTGAATGATTATTAAGAGTTTCTTAGAAAGTTAGACACATGATTTACATGGACGTAAGTGTTTTAAGTTCACGTAAATCATGTGGCTATTTTTTTATTTTTATTATTTTTTAAATTATGATATTAAAATAATAAATACATAAAAATTAATAATTAAAAAAAATTATATAAAAAAAATAGGAAAGTTAATATTGGGTTAGATTGGGCCAACCCACTATGTGTGTAGTGCTCGACACAATTCATAAAATAGTCTAAAAATATGAGCCTCCTCAAGTATGAATCATATCATGTGCACAGCTCGATCATTGGGCCAAATATTAGGTTTTGCCAAATGAGCTCCGTCCGTCCATTTTGCCATCGTTAATTTATATATAGTTTCATGTACTGAAAATGAGGAACTGATGTTTTTATTAAAATGGCTGATCCTTATATTTATGTAAGCCGAAACGGGCTAATCGGTTTTTTAAATTAAAAACGGCTACCAATTTTATAATTCATCAATGTTTTACTTAAATTTTCATGCATCTGATTTGAGATTCTAAGGCTCTGTTTGGCTTGAGATTCTAACATTAACTTCTTTGTAATAGAGTGATATATATATATATATATATGTATATATATCTAAAGTTAAAGAGTCTATCACTGCGGTGCCTCCCACTGCGCTGCGCTACCAAGCCGAACGTAAATGGCAAAGACCGTCAACTAGATTGATCGACAAGAAATGAGTTTTTATTTTTTGTTTTATTTAAGAAAGGAAGATTTCAAGTAATTAACTCGAGATATATGCAACAATATGCATATACACATAGATGTAGTCAGCTGCAACCTATTATCAACACAGTCAACTTGCCGTTTTGTGCCTTCCTCATGAGTTTCCTCTCTCTACTTTTTTTTTTCTCACTTGGTGGGTGTCCCTTCTGAAAGTAGAAACCATGTGTACTTTTTGCCCACTTTTTCTTCTTTCCACATTCTTCTCTGATGCCAGTTATGTGCTCGCGCTAGAGAGAGAGACAGACAAAGAGATATTTTATGGGGAAGTAGCGTTCCTATTTAAAGCCAGTGGTTGCTTTTTTTTCTCTCCCACTCTTAAGCAACCTTAATTTGGGTGAACCCTCTGATCTTCAATCTTATCATTATCTTATGCTCCTATTTTTCTTTACAAAGTTCACAAAGCTTTGTTGCTGCTGCTTCACAATGGGATACCCCCATATCACTGACCTCAACTTGTCTCATTCATTCAACAACGCAAATCCAAGGTCACCCTTGATTCCAAAGCGTAATGACTTTGCCTGCAGCCTCAACAACACTACCATTATCTCTCCTGGCCATGGTTGCCCTAACCCCACCAACGTTTTAGCTTTGAATCATGGTGATTTGGGTAAATCCCACTTTTTATTTTTCTTTATTTTATTCATTTTTTTAAAACTGATCTCTTTTCAACACTGATATACGTTTTCTTGGTGTTGGTAGCAACTAATGCAAATGAGCGAAGTAAGGCAGGATTCAGTCATGAGCAGCCCTTAGGAAGTTCACGTTGGAATCCAACGCCAGAGCAGTTACTGGCACTGGAAGAACTTTATCGACGTGGGACACGGACGCCATCAGCTGCACAAATCCAACAAATAGCTAATCGGCTTCGGAGGTTTGGAAAGATTGAAGGGAAGAATGTTTTCTACTGGTTTCAAAACCATAAAGCAAGAGAACGTCAAAAACGCCGCCGCGAACTTGACACTGAACAACCACAACAACAACAATGTGATACTGAAAGCTTGGAAAAGAAGGAATCAGGTAAATTATATACATAGAATTTGAACATGTTATGACTAATTCTTCCAAGCTAGCTATGTTTTAAAAGAGAACTAGAGAAGTGACGGGATTTCATTGATTGTTTTGTTCTAGTATTTTCAATATTGCCTATAGGGACTGTAACGACGGGATGTGAAAATGAACAGACAAAGAACAAGGGTCCTCCTTCAAACTTCAGTAAACTTTCAGAGGTCTGTATATCAGTTTTTGTCTTCGTTTCATGACCTACTGCTCTTCACCATGGATTGGCTACGAAATAACAGAAAGACTCGGAAAGAAAATTAGAAGGCATAATAATGGTAGCTAATTATTATTAGATTACAAGGTCAAAGGTTCGAAAAGAAAATCAAGAAAAAAAGAAGAAAAAAAAAATTTTTTTTTTGAGCTAGCTATGAAAAAGCTGTTGTTCATATGTTGGGAAAAGAAGAGGTCTAAAAGCTGCATTCCTTACTTTTTGTTGGGGCTGTTGCTATGAAAGGGCTCAGATCTTTTTCGGACTCGATAGCTTTAATTACTTTTTTATTTTACTTCAAACTAATTATAACTCTTTGTCTATTATGCCTAGGAATTTATTTCAACGCATGGAGTAGTAGCAGCAGCAACAGCAAAAAGTGAAGGAAGTGAGTGGATGCAAATTCAGGAGAAGGACTTACAACAGAGAAAGAGTGCAGTGAGGAGAGTTTCAACTTGGCAAGCTATGGGGTTGTCTTGTTCACCGATTTACCTCATAAACAGCATGACCGCAACTTCATTAGACGCTAGAAGAGTTTTGAACACTCAAAATGTATGTTCATTCCAACCCCACCAAGAAAGTATTACCACTCTTGAAGATGAAAACAGAGAAGATCAGACCCTTGAGCTGTTTCCTCTCGGAAGCCACGATCACAACCGCATTAATATCAGCAAGAAAGACACCCAAGTGCACATCAGAGCCATAAATACAACCTTCACTCCAAACCAGTATTTTGAGTTTCTTCCTCTGAAGAACTGAAGAAGAAGGTAGCTTGGCATGTGGCTACAAATGCATCAATTAAATACTAGTTTGCCATTTAAGTAAAGATGGTTAAGCTGTATTAGTAGTTTGTTTTTTTGTAGGAAACTAGGGACTGTTTCATCTGTGTCTGTCGTGCATGGTGTAACTGTAAGACAAGGACATATAGTTATTTTGGGGTTGCCTTTAAAACGCATTTGAACCATGTTGGTTAACCCAAGGTAAAGCTCCTTCATTTTTCTTTAAACGATGCAATTGCAGATTTTTCTTTGTTGATGGTTTTGTCTATTTCCTACAACTCTTTGAACGATACAAAAAGAAAGAGAGATGAGAAGGCAATATTGGGAGACATAGAACAGGAGAAGGATGTGAAAGAGTTTGATGTTGAAGTGACCTAAAACTTGGACTGGATATATCTGGGGTTTTCAGGTATATGTCAGTAAAATTTTGTTTTTCTCATGTATGTTCAATTCCATATATTCCAAGGGAATTAAATTTGTACTGAATAACAGTATAGTAGTGCAATAAGAATATCTCCTTTCCTTTGGAAACAGATTAAATAGGGAGTGATAAAATTAATGAAGAAAATCAAAATTAAGCACGTCAAATGCTCCAAGTGCTATACATTGTGCCAAAAGATCAAGCAAATTCTGCTTGGGAACTTGGCTTATGGGAAGAAGAGTTACATTCAGACGTCTATATAAACACATCAAATTCAATGGAAATTTTTGTGCAGCTTTTCAACATTGCTCTCCAATTCCCACCGGCTGTTATGTTCAATCAGAAGAAAAGGACATTGCTTAATTGCCAATGGTTGCTCATTGTGCTTAACATTAACAAAGGCAGAATGATACTATCTATAGATTGAATAAACAAATATTTTCAATATTATTTGCTTCGAATGTTACTACGTAGAAGATAATTACGTTATCTCTTCTCAACTATCTTTTCCGGCAATGTTGCCTCAATATATAAAAATTAATTCAAATTTTTAGTTGATCTCCATACACTTGGCAGTGTGGTAGAGTTCCAGATTGCAGAGCAGTATCTTAGTAAGTAGGCTTGCATTATATTTAACTTGGAAGGTTTTTGAACTTCCAAATTGGTTGTACATGTGCAAGATCCGTAAATTTTGGTCATTACTGTTCTTTTACCAATAAGAGGTCAAAAACAGGTAAAAGCCTAAAACTCTTTTAACCCTGTTAGAAGTTTTGTCCTTTCACCCCTTGAACCAGCCATACATCCATTTATTGACCATAAAAAGGCAATTACATATAAAGCTTTAAATCAGGGCATGCATGAAAATGAAAAACCTTTGCCTGGCTGTAGATGATAATGCATAAGATAAAACCCATGCAATATTGATTATCAGACCATTAGTCACAATGAGGGAATCAAGGGAAGTGGAAAGACAACGAAGATGCCTATCTATTGAAGATGTCACTGAAACTTTTGCACGACTTTCATCACTGAATGTCTAGTAATCATAATGAAAAAGCAGGCAGCACTAACAGAGAGACAAAGAGAGAAACAGTGTTAAAAATAAAAGTGAGAAACAGGGAAAAAAAAAAGTAAAAAATACAACGAAGAAAGCGCGTATTGCCGAGAAAAACCGACCGTGATCTAGTGAAAATCCAACTAGGAGTCTGGAAGCAGCCAGCATTTAATTGGCTTTGGCCAAAAATAGGGAGGCTGAGGGATTGTCCTTGTTTTCCTTTACTCTGATTTCCTGCACTGCCTCGTCCATCAGGACAAACACAATCTCACACCATGAAACTACAAAAAAAAAAAGAAAAAAAACTTAGTAAAACAGTTGGATGGGTTCCTTTAAAAATCTGTTTGCAGTAGTAGTACTGTAGCTCCATCATCATTCAATAAAGAACAAACCTCCAATGTTTCAAAAATTCAAGCCCACTTTATCCATAGCTCAGACCATAGCCTGTGTTTTTTGTTGTCTTAAAGTCCATACACTCTTAACAATTATTAGTCCAGTTGTTGCATATAACATTCAATTTAAAAAATTATGCATATCTTGCCTTGTTCACAAGCAATTACAATTTTTTTTTCATAACACTGAAATCAACTTTTTGTCATGTTGCATATATACCACGCTCACAATTTTTCACTCCCTCATTTTATTTTCGGATTCGTTTTTTTTTTCTTTTCAAAGGAGGTTTTTAAAGGAGATCCAAACCGAAAAAGAATTGTAAATATTAAAATTTATATTTTAAATTTATTAAATATCTTTTATTAAAAGTTACTGCAATAAATTTTGAATTTATTAATTGTTATATATATATATATATATATATACATACATTTATGGGTCCTTCCTTTTTACCCTCCCAACCACATCAAGGAAGAAGAGTGAAATGAGAAAAGAAATGAAGTTGGAAAATACGTTTGAACACATCCATGAGCCATATGGTAGGAGAAGTTGTAGTTCACAAAGAGATCATATACATCCTAAAAGCGAATTCTATGGTTTGATAAACGTGCAACTAATTTCTGAAAAAAGAGCCAATGTTCATTTAAAATTCCATTGAAGTTTTAATTGTAACTTAGCAACACTATAAGATCATTTGTTGGAAATGATTTCTGAATGGTCAATCAACTCCTACACTCCTTTTAGTAAGAATGGTGGAAAGCATAAAGCAAAAAGAAAAATAGTTAAAAAAAGATTTGATAATTTTAAATACGAAATAATAATATGATACAAATATATATATAAATGATACAAATCAAAATTTTGATAAAAACCATGTGCTAAATAAAAATTAAAAAAATTATATTTAATAAGTCAACATAAATTTTGATAATTTTTGTATTTTACGAATATATGAATTATCATATCTATCTAAAATAAAGCTATAAAATGATAAATGTGATTATAAAAATATATATTTTCTTTTATAATTGTATATGCCAATATTGAATTTTAAAAAATTGATACATATTCCTATCTTCTATTGAAAATTTTAATGTAATTGGAAAATAAACTGATTATTAAAAAAATAATTTTATAAATAGATTTCTTTTGTATCTTGCTATTTTACTCTCTCCACTAATCCTTTTCCCTCTCTTCAATGTTGTTTTCGGCCAGTCGGTCTAATATCAATATATCATCGACAACAGCCCTTTCTTCATTGGCTGGCTATTTTGCATTTTAATTGATTCTGTATCCAATAAATGTTGAGCCAAAGATGTCAACCAACAGTTGAACATCTTTAGGTTTCAATAAGTTATAAATAGCCATACTGCATGCATCATGCAAAACAAAACAAACCACAAAGTCTCAATAAAGTAACAAATAGATGCAATAGGTGAAGTAATGTATGCAGATGTATTATTATATTGTTGAGAGGTCAATATACAACGGAATGTCGGTGAAGGAACATTAAAATGGCCAGCCATTTTGGTTTTTCAGTATATAGTACACGGTGAGCACAATCCCATGATACACATTGCCACTGAGCATAAATAATTTTGCTTAGACACGTACATGAACGCTCCAGGCAACTACCGGGGATGAACTCTCAGGTCTGATCAAGAAGCATAGAGGGGCTCTGGCTCCACTTTTCTTTTGATCCTGAAAAGGGTAAAAGATCAAGTTCATAAATGATCAAACTTCACTAGACCATGAGTCACGTAGAATTTGATCAAATCAGAGAACAAATCTAGTCGTTGGTATTTAAAACAGATTTCTACTACTATAGATCAACTCATCCTGATCTCCTTTCAATAACTAAGAATACTAATTAGTTCGTTTTCTTGATTATGTTAAAGAGTAAATTAAGAGCATTTCTACATTTATTGCCAATATTCTGAAAAAATAGTGTAAAACTTCAATGATTACAACAAGTTATGATTTAGTATGATCTTTTTTAATCATTAGACCAAGGAATATCAAATGAATGGGATCTTTTCTCAATCTCTCCCACATATGTCAGATGGGAACAAATGTATTTCTCTAGACATTTTTGGACAGAAAAATTATAGATTCACCAGGAGATGATTAATTCAATTTCCATTTTTGAATTGGAATATTGTTTCCCTGTGAGGTTTTCAACTCTATACAAATACAAAGCACAAGGTCTTTATAGGTTACCCTAGCATATTTATATGATAAGAGGGAAATATTGTTGCAGGCAACACAGACATTTGAATTGACTGTTGACTATACATCATCTAGATAAAATAAGATTCATAAGATAAAAAAATTATTTATTATCAGCACCTTCGAGATAAATACTAATATGTTTACCCTATGAAGAACAAAAAAGTGAAATTGTGGAGCACAAAAAGATGAACCATCTAAAAATATTGAGAAGATACACAAAAATGCTCATGTAATTACCAATTATCTTCAGCCCACTTGCAGCCATCAGTATCTACCACATGCCAGCTGTATGCATGCCGTGAATTTGGAGATTGATTTTCAAAACTAAAGTACAAGCACAAAAAACAAAAGAAATAAACAGTGATTAACCTGAATAAAATTCTTTAAATAAAATTCTTTCAACTACAGTACAAGTTCTAAATAAAATTCTTTAAACTAACCTTTGATGAATAAGATCACCATGAATTACAACCAAAGATCCAGCTTTCACTTCAATAGGCACAAAATCTTTCTGGTCATAGGATGGAGAAGGCCGGTCAAAGTAAACTCCATCTTCACCCCTAATGAACCTTCTAACAAGGCCATCTGGAAACAAACAGAGCAGGATCAAAATAAGGTATTGTCTATCTATTTTAAAAAGTCACGATGGAAAAAGTTTTTAAAAAACAAAGGTACTTTTTTGAGATTCAGGAATGGCCCAAAGGCAGCCGTTTACGACTGTTGCATCTTCTAGAGCAAGCCATAGCCCAGTGCAAGTTTTTGGCTCAGTGTAAAGAAATGAGTTGTCCTGGTGAGGACTTACTTCACCTCCTATACCTGGTTGCTGTCAAAATGACTCACACTTTAGCAGAATGCAGTGAACTTCAGTATTCAACAAAATTCAATTCAACCTCTTTCTTTTTTCCTCTTTCTCTTTTGTCTAGATCAAAAGCAATATAAAGGGGAATACATCTTTCATTCCCGACTGGGAAGGAAGAAAGGAACAAAGAAAGAAATACTGAAGTCCTAAAGACAGGATATAAGATTCAAACACCTTTACAAATCATATAGGGATTAAATCTCATCTATGTGCAGGATTAGTAGTTCAATGTTTCTGTTTTGAAGGAGAAACAGAAGTGTGCTTCCATTTTGGAGAAAAAAGAAAAAGCATCAAAATAATATACCATTGCAACAGCATATTAAGTAGTATCTATTATAATTTAGACCAAATGTTTACACCTGCTCTTAACAAAAAAAGCTGCATATGTAGTATGAAGAATAATAAAAAGATTCGATAAACCACTCCCAGCATCTAGCACATTTCGAAGTTACTTAGTGGGATAAGACAGGACCAGACAACAAAGCCAACAAATAGAACCTCAATGCCCTAGAAATTCCTAAATCTTACAGAAAATTTCATATCCCTAAATGTTAACAAAAGTGCAGCAATAGCAACTTTAGTATGATCTACCACACATAGTAGCACAAGAGAAGAAAAAACTCAATTCCAGGATTACAAAAAGGTGCCATTCCATCAGAACTCAGCTCAATCTTTATGCTTTGTATGCAATATAATTTTTCACACCTTGAAAGGGCCAGCTAGTCATATGGTGAGATATGAGTTTAATGTTACACGCTGAATAAAAGTTCCTTTAAAAGGCAACATCAATGCAAAATGAACACAGGTTTCATTGACTGAATAAGTGAATTATTATAAAAATAAATAGATAAGAGAATTATCAACCTTGAAACATACTACCAAATGCACTATTTCACTCTAAAGTAAAACTATTATATTCAAGTTACAGAAGTCAGACCTCTCAATAACTTGGAGTTGAAATTCTCAGGTTAGAGGCAAAGGGTGTTATCACTAGAGAATCATTGCCTTCATGATCAGGGAAAAAACAAGATAAATACCTTAAAAATATACATTGACTGAATGATCACTGGCCTCTTGTAACCTAAGGAGAACAGCAAACTCGAAACTTTCTCAGAGCAAGAGAATTCTTTGAAAACTGGGTCAATCTCATGTAATGCTACACAAACAAATACACTGAAGGATTAGCATCAATAAACATATTAGCAACCAATTTACATGAGCATGTTGCCATAATAAGAGCATAACAAACCATGTAATATCTTTAAAATTACATACCATGCCCAACTTTATTGATAGAAAGTTCCTTTGATTGCTTTAAGTTTCTGTTATCGTCAAATGCTTTTTCTGACAAAGCAACAAAAGAAAAAAAAAGTTAACAAATGTTAATAAAGAAAACTAACATCACCATCTAAAAGGCACCAAAGTGATAAAAAGGAAACAGAAAAGTTAAAGCTAAAAGCAAATCTCTGATTATCCTACATAATCCGCACAAATAATCATTTTAGCAAAGTGTTAGAGATTTTATACAATAGATATCATGTAAAAACAATAAAAGCAAATCAAGCTTTACCATGTAAGATAGGCAAACTTAACTTATTCAAGTGCCTTAGTAAACAGTTCATTAACATTCAAACCTTTCAATTTCAATCTAACAGCAAGTTCATATATCCGAAAACCCTAGTTCTCAAAACTAATTTGATACTTTTTCAAAGCAAAATTAAGAAGAAAGAAAAAACTAATGGGGGAAACAATAAATGAGTGAAGAAAAGTAAGAAAGCAACAATAATAAAAATATACCTTCAAAGAAAAAAGAAATCTTTTCAGCACTTTCGTAGAAGTATTCACTGGTCAACTGTATCTACAAAAGAACCATATTGACAAAATTAAACTTTACAATCAAATATTCTCTGATCAACTTTAACTACAAAATATCCTTATTGAGAAATTATCAAAATTTAAGCCTTATAATCAAATAAAATCAAATTATTTTACTATTACACCAAGAAAGAAATAAGGGGAAAAAAAAAAAACCTGATTTTTGGTGGAGAAAATAGAAGCGGTGGTGGTGGGGTCAAAGTCCTGAAGCAATTCGTCCATTCTCTTCCTCATAGCTTCAATTTCTTCGGGACTCGCAAATGACTCCATTACAAGAAAACCTGCAAAAAAAGACTTTTGAAATTTGATCAGGTAAAGAACAGAGTAAAAAAGCAGATGCTGTATTGTTTTTGTAAAAGAAATTGTTTTGCTGAAAGCAGCAGTGGCAGGTGACGATGACCTTGAGAGTTGAAAGATTGGAACTGTTGCGTATTGAGATTTCCAACGATTCCCATGGCGGTGGCTTTTGGCTGAAACAGGGGAGGATTCTGAAAAGTTTTATCAAGTAAAAAGCGTTGAAATAGGAAAATTTGGATCTTTTCGTATTTGAGAAATATATTTAAATCCGATAAATACGGTCGCTAATTAAAAAATATATATTTTATGTTTGGAGGTTTTAATAAAAATATTCAAATATTTATGTGGAAAATGATTGGGTAAAAAGAATAAAGGGTTATTTATCTTGTTATTTTTTATTTTTTTTAAAGAATAATAATAAAAAAGTTTTATATTTTCATAAATGAATTTAGACAATTGACACATCTTTACTAATATTTGCATTTAATATATTATTTTTATTAAATTCAATAACTGATAATAAATTAATTACATATTTTTTCTTTTAAGTATCATTTTAATCAGCGTCATTGGACGTGATCGGTAACAGATGTTATGGACTCTTTGGTTTCTCCATCATTTAAGATTTTATTAATTGTTTTCCTATATTGTTTGTATCTATATTTACTATATACTATATGGATACCCGCGTAGGTTAATTTTTTTTCATTCTTATTCATTGATTTTTTTTTTTTTATCTAATTTTTAAAAAATAAAGGTGAAAAAAATCAAATAGAGGGGAACGTAGATACTTAAATTTGCTTTTTATTCTTACAAAATATATTATAAAAAAATTTTTTTTTATTTTTATGTGTAAGACTCACTTAATACAAAACGAACCAAATAAACTAAATAATATATAAATATAAAATTAAATCATAATAAAATATATATATATCATAAGGTAGATTGAGATAAAATATTTTAAATCTATTTTTGATTAATCATTTATTTCTATTAAACAATAAACTCGAATTGATTCAATATCAATTTTTTACAAAAAAAATCTCATATCAAATTAAAATAGATAAAAACCTATCGAATATTATTTGTTTTGACATATTTTTTAATAGTTTCATTTCATTGTAAAATTGATTAAATTAAAATTATAAATATAAATAAAATACAAAAAAAAAATAAATATGTTACATGGATACCTCCATTAGTATTATTTTTTACGAAATTATTCTAATTAAAAATAATAAATGAAAAAAAAAGCAAATAATTTTAAATATATATATATCCTCGCGAATTGAGTTAGATTAAAAGTTAAAATTCATTGAATATAAATTGTTTTACACATACACTAATTTTTTTTATTATTAAATTTATGTAATTAAAAAAAAGAAATAACAAAGGGGAAAAAAACCAAATTAGAGTGCATAGAAACCTCAATCAAGTTTTTTTAATAACTTTATTTAAATAAAAAACAAAAAAGTAAAAAAAAAAAAAAAACTACATAAGTTGTCGCTATATTGAATAAGCATCAAATAATAATCAAAATGAATAAAATTTATATAATTGATAGATTGATAGATTATATTTTAATTGTGTATAAATATAGTATTTTTATTAAATTAAGATATTAAATAATAATTTTATTAAAATAATATTTATACAAATATAAAATAAAAGTAAATATATTATCAAATTGAAAAGAGAAAATTAATGAAAAAAGAAAATAATATATAGTTTTAATAATTAAATCAAATGGGTCTTATTTTTAAAAATTTTAAAATATTTTAAAATATTAATCAAATAATAAAGGTAAATAAAGAAAAAAAATCAAATAATTTAACACATAACATATCTTTACTATCAAGTCAAAATAACATATACTTAATATCAAGCGAGTCAAAAAATAAAATCTAAATAATTATTTATTTAAAAAAAATAAAAAAAAAATAAAAATGTAATATACCTTTAATATCGAATGAATAGCAAACATAAAAGAATTAAAATTTTAAAAAAAATTTATTAAATATTTTTACAAAAGTAAAAAAGGAATATGTAGTATCAAGTGAGTCCCACAAAAATTTAAAAAAATATTTAAAATATTTACTAAATATAAAAATTTAGAAGTACAAAAAAAATCCAAAAAAAGTAGAAAATAAAATAATGAAAAAACAATACAAAATTTAAAAAGCATTTAAAAAGAAAAACTAAAATCCAAAAAAAAAAAAGGTTAAAAAGGCAAAAAAATATGACAACACGCTGAATCCCGGTTAAGTTCCACGTATTATCAAAATTTAAGTTATAGATATACTTGAAAGCGAGGATATTATGGTTAATACCCTTTGGTTAAGAGGGGTAATAAAAAGACAACAATGGTACTTTTAATGCAGTGTTATATTTTTACGATATGAGTAGCAAATATATTATTATTAGTAGATAAAAACGAAATGAGTTGCTAACTAAGTTTGTATTTGGCTAAATTCTGATCATAGCTATTCTATTTTAACAACATTTGAAATTTAATCATTTTATTATAATTTATAAAAATGCAGTGCTCATATTATTTTAATGTGATAATCTTAATTACATTATTAACCCAATTAAATTTTTGTAGTTAAAAACATTAATATAATTATTGACTTGATGATATAAATATTAATTTTGTAGACGTAACATTGATTTTATTGACATAATAATATGAATTAATGATATCAATTGCCAGATTGTACAAATCAATTTTTTTTTAACTTTTCAGATTTATTAAAAAAATTTTTATGACTTTTTGAACTTTCGTATGTTTTGCTAAAAAAAAAAAAGATGATTACAACAACAAAGTTAATAGAAAATAATTAATCGTAATAATAATTAAAACCAAAATTATCAAATTTGATTTGTATAAAGCCAAAATTTTTATAAATTATACTAGAAAGATTGAAATTCAAATTTCTTGTAGAATTTAACAACTGAAATTTTTTTATCCACATTATCACATCAACAACAAAATCCTCCATATGTAAGTTTTTGTAGTTTATTTTGATGAAAGATGGAAACAATTCAATTCTAAAGGAATATAAATCCAGACCCATGACTAAAATGATTCAAGGAATAAAAATCCAGCAAGAATTGCTAAGAAATTCTTGAAATTGGAAAAATTAAAGACCAGGAACAAAATTGTACATGAAAAATCAATACCCTGATTTTGGACTAAATTTCTTCCCGTCTTTTACACTTCAAACTGCAGCTACTTTACAAAAAATCAGAAAACCAGGGTGTGAAAGAATACAATGTGTTATATCCACAGCTTGTTAGATACAGCAGCTGCTACAGCAATCCAGAAACAATCTCCAGTTAATGCTGGGGTAATCCCCTCCAATAGCACAATTGTCAATTTCGTGTTCTCTGGCATCATGTACAAAAAGATGCAGCTCCCCATCAACTCAATCCCGGTGAAATAATTAGATCAATAGATAAATGTGACCTCTGAAAAAATCCTCCAAGCTCCCAAAATTGAATTGTATGCCCTCTTGCCATATCAAGAGGATAAAAAAATGAAAAAATTAGATGAAAAAAAGGGGGTCAGAAGCAAGATGTGCTCGCCATATTACAGGAACAAGATACACCCATCAAAATCCCTCTGCAAGCAGATCACGTAGCCGATGATGATCTTGAGTCTTCTGATTTGTTTGTACGACACATGCAATCAGGGCATGGGAAGGTATATATTGAATCATTGGGCCTTTTCAGTTCAAATCCCTTTGAGTCACTATGAGACCGCATATTCAGCATTTGACGCCTGAAACTTTTCCACCTGAAACAAAAAGCGAGGTAAATTGAATCCAACAGTTCATATTTCCAATTATCACAAATATTATCACAAATAAGAAGCATTCTAAAACAACCCATCATGATACATGTTTCATTCTAGAACATAGAAACTATGTCTTGATTTCCCTAGCGACATTTCCAAAATGATCAATTGTAAACCATCCCATTAAGTTTGTACTTTTCAAAAGAAGAAAACTAAATAATATGATCTGATGTAAAGTGTCTAACATAGCTGTTTCAAGATATATTTCTTCATGTTTATCTAGCTGCTAACGTTTGAAATTGTCTTCCAAAACTTGCAAACATTATCCCCAATAGTATTGCTTACAATATCATTCTCTACCCTATTACAACCACTAAACAAAACGGAAAAACTAATCCTGTTTTGCCCTGAATCCTGAGAGAAATAGAATAATTTCAACCATTTTGGTCCCTTTTTTTTTTGGTCTAAATCAATCTGTTTGGTCCTTATTTCAAGAAAAAACAGATAGCTTAAAGTATAGGCAGGTTTAGAAAAAAGATCAAAGCATACCCAATGTTAGGATTATCAAATAGCAATGCCAACTTTCGCTTGTCTGGTCGAATTGTCTTGGAGTGTCCTCCATACAAGTATCTCCTATGGCCAATCAGAAAATGAGGAAAATTTCCACCTTGAGTTGTCACAAATACCTCACTATGAAGGCAAACAGTATAGTCTATAGCAGCCATCCTGGAAGAAAAGTTCTGAAAGCAATAATCCAAGTCAAAAAGAAATGATAAAAAATCCAATCTCAAAGGCATTAATGAAGGACTTGAAAAAAAAAAAAGAAGTGGTGAAACATCACATGCATCTGACCTTATATGGAGCAAGTTCTTCCTCTGATGCCAGCATCTCCTTTGTTTGCAAGTTGGGAAACATTTCCAATAACGGAGCCATTGTTTTCTCAGCATTGTATATTTTTCCAGACGCCAAAAAGATAAATGTATTGTTATCAAATCCCATTCCTCTAAGCATCAATCCAACCTAATAGGTGGAAAAAGATATTAAATCAACTATCATTGACATGAGTGTCGATATCTGTGTGTGTATGTGTGTATATATGTATGTTAACTGTTCTGGGAACACTTAAATTGACACAAGAACACCATAGTCATCACACAGTTGAAATGCTCATCTATGTCAAGTGAATTTTTGTTTTAATCTGTCACTTAATATGCCAATTTTTATCAAGGTCAAGTAACAAACATATGAAACTGTCAAATAGCCAAGGAAATTCCACTAGCCAGTGCAAGAGCAACAATAAGTCATCTTTCCTAAGATTTCATTACTTCAAGCAGCACCAGAATTCATAAAGGGGGACTAAATCCAACATTTCAGGAGAGTATACAGACTAAATTCAGAATTAAAGGAGCAAATTCATATGGTTCATGATCTTTTAGCACATAAAGAAACTATTAAGCAGAATCAGTCATGAGGCAAGCTATGTATATTCTACCAAAGCTGCAACCTCACTCATTTTACAATTATATCAGTTCAGTGCAATTACACAATGCTTGCCACAGACAGCAAAGCATATTATATGTTATGACCCAGTAAAGGTAGAAAAGAGCAAATAATCACAGAACCAGAAAAAGGTAGTTCCACAATCAAGACATAATGAATTCTTTTTTTCAGGGAACACATCCTATAAACTTGATTGCAAAGTAGCTTGAAAATTCTAGTTTTCATTTTGGTGCGACATATCAACACTTTAGGGTATGAACAGAGAAATTTCATCAAGTACTAAAACAATTTGAGAGCCTCTGACTACCATCAGCAAACAAAATCTTAAATAATAAATAAACTAATAAAAAAAAAAAAACCATAAACCCATTCCTAAAGATGATCTTTACCTAACCTAATCTACCAAGTGCCATCACTCTCCAACAAAATAAAATTATCTTTTTTTTTTTTTAATGAGTAACAATAATAAAATTATCATCCAGCTGAGATTGCTTCAGTTCAATTTTCAATTGAAAGCAACTTTATTAACCAACAATACCTCTAATGGAGTAAGTGGGCATTTCCCATTAATCCTGATTGCCCCAGGGCGCATAACTCGACCAGGTTTTGTAAATTTTCCTTTCCAGCCTCTTTCCCTCGCTTTTTCCATGTCTTCTTTTTCTTGCTCCCCACCATCAAATACACAACAAGAGAAAGCAACCATATCCTGCACATGAAAGAAAGAGTACATTATACACTTCCTACAAAAATGGAGTTGATAAAACTGCTATTAATGGTCATAATAGTAATCTTTTTTATGTTAAAAAAGGTCATCAATCATCATAATACATTTTCTATCAGAACAATACTAACCTCCTCAAAGCGAAGATGAACAGAAACAAACTTGCCACCACTATTCACACTGTGCTCTTTCATTCTTGCAACCAAAGTTTCTCCAAGGCTTAGTATTGGACTTGAAAACCTTAAAGCTTCATAATTTGCCAAGCATCTGAGTCTTTGGACTGCTGGAGGAGCATCAAATGATAAGCGATTTGCAAAAGGAGAAATCCTTATAATCCTGAGTCATTCAATCAGAAAACAAGTAGCTTAAATTAAGACAACAATAAACAGTGTACTTCATACATAACTACAACGAGAAGAAGGTAACAGTAAGGAAAATATGCCAATCTACACTACATGCATAGAGAAAAATATATACTTTTGTTCATAAAGAATTGCCTTAAGCAACAATGTTTAGAATCACCATATGTTGCTCAAGCAAACAAGCTAAACTTAAAAAGAAACAATTAAGCAACATTCAATGTTCAAACTCACTTTTCTTCGAGGAGCTTGGGCAGGACTACATCCCTATAATACCGAATGGATGACCATGCTTTAATTCTGAAGTTGTAGACATTGGTCAAATTGTGGTCAAATCGTTCCATTATGAACTCAGGAATCTTATCAACAACTCGTACATCATTCTTTAGGGCACTGATGAAATAATCTTCATCATAGATGTCTTTGAATTTGCTGGAAAAGTAAAAACCACACACGGACTTCAGTCAATGTGGTACAAAATGATTGGTAAAACACAATACTAAATAACATGTATAAGGAACAAGTGTAATGATAAAAGAAAAAATGATGTGTAATACTAATAAATGAGGTAAATGAACCAAGAAAAGTGACAATCAAAACTAAAATTAGTTCAAGGAAAATTTCAAGAATAGCATGTTAACAGTTCTTAGGCATCAAAGAAAATTGTTTAAATTATAAATATACTTTTCACTTCATTTTTTTCTTATCTAACACTTTACTGAAAAATTTTATTTCCCTTTAATTTTCCAGTAAACAAAGCCTAAAGAGCAATTCTTGACTAGTTATTAAAAGATAATAATGGCAATCTGGTTTTTAATACATTCTCCTATTCTTCAAAAAGAAAGAATTGTCAGCTTTTAGGATTAACATTTGGCATTTCAAACTTAGAAGTCCTTAATTTAATTGATTTACAGCTCAACCTAAAAACATCACGCAAGCACATAGCTAAGATAAGCAATATTTTAATCAACAAGGTTTCGCAGCCTAACACTACCGTTATAGAAAAATTGTACAGCTAAAGATCAATGTATCAGGACACAGATTATCAGCTTAAGCTTCCCAATAAATATTTATTTGCTAGAAAACTGATTACTAGTACTTTTATCATTTTTCCTTGATAGTACACAAGCAACATGACAACTAAAAATAGATGATAACAAACCTGGGATCTCGCCATATGCTATGATAATGGAAATAAGGGATTATAAGTGTTGCATTAAGATAGCCTGCCACAGCAACTGCATTGCATATCTACAAAGTATCCAAAGCAACCATGTAGAGAAAATATAAATTAAAGAGATCATAAAACCGGCAAGCTTTTACGAAATGGAGGTAAAGCATAAATACTTAAAAGAAATTAATGAGGAACAAAACCAACCGATGTTCTCTGCTGATTTAAGCCTCCATTTGCCTCAACATATATGTAACCATTCGATTCAGGCAAGCCTATAGTGGTTAAAAGAACAGCCAAATTTTAAACTAATGAAGATAGTCAACAACCAAAAACCATACTCGTACATATAAACATGAAGCATGCATGTAACTGCACATAGAAAACATAACAAATACTTCAAATGTGCAAGCACCAGAAATGGAACATAAAACTCTAAATGTGTGACATTTACACTAACATGTTAATGAGGCTCCTAAGGTCCTCGCACATACAAGGGTTCTTACAAAAATTTTAATGAGTTGCTATTTCACATAGTTAGACTTCCACATTTCCTCTCCCTTCCCCTCTCTCTCTCTCTCTCTCTTTCTCTCTCTCTCTCTCTCTCTCTCTCTCTCAAGAAAGCACTCTTAAACTCTGTTACTCAGACCCAACAGTTTAGGCAAAAGAAATCACATTGACCAAACATGACAGAGGTGTTGTATGGATATGCTTTTTACACACCTTTAACAGAAATAAAGTTATCTTCTAATGCTACAAATTCTACTTGACATAAGGGCAAAATGTTACTGCAAAACTTAGTCAAATCGCAGATGAGACAATAAAAGACATAATATTTAAACAGTCATTAACATAAGAACCAATTGGCAACATTGATCACCCCAATACCAGACTTAACAGCCTGAAAACCTAGTCAATCAATATATTTAGTTGTCTGACCTTTTAAACAAATGATGTCTACATCTAATCTAGGATTATCATGGCTTGAAATTTGTAATTTGTATAAATCCAGGAGGCCAGAAAGCTCAGAAAAAGGTTTTAACTTCCTGCAGATGTAACTCTAAATGATTCAAGTGTCCGATTCAATTCCTTTGTGGCATGTAATATATATTATCTTACATGCCAAAGCCATTCACTTAGAAAATGAGTACTCTTCCAATTTTGATGGTAAAATATTGATGCTTGCAAAAGTTACCATCAACAAGAAATAGAGTAGAAATAAAATAAAAAAGAAGCAAATTTGTTCTCATTCACCAAAAGTAATGCTAACAATGAGATTCATAAATAGAGATATTACTTATAATATATTTAGTGCTACACAAATAGTTGTCAGAAAACTAAAAGAGCCTAATTAATGTCAATGAAGCAACAGAAACATTATCACGAACTGTTTACAATAAAATAAATGGAATGAATTCATACCTTCAGAAGACTTGTTTACACAAGGTCTCCACTCCCCCCCTTTATAGGATTTTTTCCAAATAATTGAAATCTACAACAAATTCATTTAAGTTTAGGATAGATATAATCACATATCATGAATCAGCATCAGATGAAAATCTCAACAATCAATTTAAAATGCAAAAAGCCTTAACCATGCAATTATTTCAGCAAAGAAATGCTATACAAGTTAAATGGTTAAAAAAATTTTGCATTATATAATAAGATAGTATCGTAGTATTATAATTCATATTGCTCTTAAGAATTACAATGAGAGAAGCCGGAAAATAAAACAAGCATACACTAATACAAGGCACCAAATCAATTAACCCAATTATGAAACGATACTATGGCAACTGTTTTACCATTCTAGGGTTATGGTAATAAAGTGATTGAGTTATTCTTAGCCTATCTGTAAAAGACTATTATCAAATTATCAAGTCAGTGTAGAGGAAGCAAATCATCAATAAACCAACAGTATTGTACTGCCTTAGGATTTAATCATTCAAAGAAGCTTCTGATTTCAATTTACTTTTACTATATATGAAACCCTGTACAATTATCTTTATCACAATATCTAAAGGGAAAAAAAGACAACCGGCTAGACATCACAATTTCCCATGATTTTCAGATCCAGATACGATCCAAAGATTGTTACAGCTGGAAATGAAGCATGTACAACAAGACACAAGGGTCAACTTCCTCAGAAAACAATAGTGAAAATTAAAAAAAAAAAAAAGAATAATGTTTAAAATGATTCCATGATTCAGCATTCTATTTTTATTTTTTATTCAAATTGAGATAAAAAAAAAAATCCTTAATTTCTAAACTTTCAAGAATTTGTATAATCATTAGAAAAAACTTAAGTCTTAAATAGAAAAAAAAAAAAAAAAAAAAAAAAAAAAAAACATAACGTAAGACCATCGGGAAAAATACAAGTAACTACATTGTCCAAGTTCCTCAAAATTCTATCAAGATCCAAACCAAGAAGAAAAAAGAAATCAAAGAAAAACTCAAAATTCGGAATGGTTCATGAAACAAATCCGACCCAATACAGAAAACCTTACAAAGTAATCCGACCCGCAATCATAAAATCGAAGAATCCATAAAAATTGACTAAAAAGGAATAAATCAAAAACCAGTGACTCACCGCATCAGCAGAGGAATTATCGCCATTCATATCAATCTTAAGCCTCTCATAAACCTGGGGACTCCGGTAAACGGAGCCGGGGGCTGGCCGGTGTTTAACAACAAGAGCCACATCAAACGAAACGGTGCCCATGTAAAGAAGCATCCCAGAGATGTAAATGAGAGGAGCAAAGAAGAAAATCCCTTGTCGACGAAGAACAACCGAGAGAAGTAACCAAGCGAGACGATGGGCTATGGTCGGGCCCGGTTGGAATGGGCTGGACCGACCCGACTTCCTTCCGTGACGGTACCTCGGTGACCGTAGTGGTGATGCCGGCGGTGACGGGGTGCTGTGGCCGCTACTAGGAATCCTATTTTTCGCGTGCATTTGAAAAACAAACACAAAAAAAGAAAAAAAAATTACTCTGTTTTTTTTTCTATTTTGTTGAATTTCTTTTTTTTCTTGATGACTACGTCATATGGGAAGCTGAAACCTCTGTATGCGTTTTCTTTTTTTATTTCTCTCTCTCTCTCTCTTTTCTCTTCCGTGGGAAGGGGAGAGAGAAGAGAAGGGAAAAGAAAAGAAAAGAGAGGGAAAAGGGCGAGAGAGAAGAAATGTATTTTTGTTTGTAGTGAATAGAACAGAGAAGAAAGAGGAAAGCACGTGCACGTGCACATGCTCTTTGGAAGGGAGTGGGAAATAATAATGGAAAGAGACAGGGAGTGATTATGAATCGGGAAAAGGAGTGTGCTTAGAAGGTAAAATACTTGCCTTTTTGGTTCAACTTAAAATCACGTGATTTTATCTACCATTTTTTTTTGGCATATTCATAATTTAATTTTAATCGAATTAACTGATAAAATTAATTTAATTTGATTAATTAATTAATTATTAATTTAATTTTAATTGATTAATAAATATAATTTTAAAAAATTTTAATCTTTGATTAAATTGATTCAAAAATCAAATTAATTAAAATATAAAATACTTTAAATATAAAATAAAAAATATATAATAGATTATTTAATTTTATAAATTATTAAAGTTTTTAACATAATATTTAATATTTGAATATTTTATTCAATAATTTTATTTAATTTATTTGAAATGTGAAAAATTACAAATTTAAAATATAATTTAATTTAAATATATTTATTATTCAGTTAATCGAAAAAATTAACTGAACCAATTGAATTAAATTCTATAAATATAAATAATGTATTTATTATTTAATTTAAATATATTTATTATAAATAATGTATAAATAATTACATTATTTATAATTTAACTTAAATTTAGTTAATTAATTTTTTAAAATTATAAATTCAATTCGATTAACAAAAATAAAATAATATAATTTGATTAATTTGATTTTGAATTATTTTATTTGAAATTAATCATACCGATTGAATTAACACTCTTAGATACATAAAAAAATCTTAATTAACGAATAAAAAGTATTGTAAGTGATTGAATTTAAATTTTATATTTATTAAATATTATTTTTAAAAATAATTATACACATTAATTCGATTAAATTTTAAGTTCAACTTTTTCTTAAGTTCGTAGTTTTTAAGTGATATTTCTTTGGTACCATCATTTGATGCTTTGGAATAAGTAGTTTTTCGGTCAATTTGGTGAGTAATACCACTAATAATTTCATAACTTCTATTTCACTTATTATTATAAAAGGAAATTTAGCGTTTCAAATTGTTAAGGTAAACATGGTATAAGACCATGTTGATATTGTTGTTTCCTTTTTTATCTCACAATTTGACAATTTGAGTGAATACATTATCTTTATATTTGTTGTTTCCTTTTATTCATTTGTGTAATATTTTATCCTTAATTTCTCATCAAACGTATCATTGAATAATAATTAGTAAGAAATCAGCAATGACACTTGTTCAAAACAATCTCTCATCTTAAAAAATTGGTTACTTTATTATCTTAATAATTTTGTTCAAATTTATGATTTAGCTCAATTAGTTAATTAAACCACTCGGAAAAAAAAATCTAATAATATTAAATTTTAATATTTCAAATTTTTTTGTACTATAAAAGATGAGAAAAAAAACTTATATGAAGTTTTTTTGGGTAAAATTTATAAAGTTCCTTCTTAAAAATAATTTGATAAAAATTTTAATAAAAATTTTCAAATTGATAAATTGATAAAATTCAATGTAAAAATGAATAATAAGTAAAAAAAAATTTAATATTATTTATAATTTAATTTAATCGATATTTATTTAATAGTAAAAATTATGTCAACATTTTTACTAAAAATGTTTGTCTAAATATATATATATGAAAAAAAAAAATTTTTTCAAATTTTACACATTTAATCCATATAATTATACATTTCAATTTATCAATTTTGATTTTCGATTTTAATTTTGATTTAATTGTTTTTAGTTGATAATTACACAAATTTCACCTTAAAAACTTCTTCTAAGTCTTTTCTTAATAGATAGATCTGATAATCTGTATTATCATATTATGTAAAATATTATATTTGTATCGTGTTTTACATAAAAATTACGTATCATAGTTTGTGTCGACACAATAATGTTAAATCTAAATATTTTTATTTTATTAAATTTATTTATAATTTTTCTAAAATTTTAAGTCATATTATCTCTTTGTTCTTTATACGTATCGTGTCATTGTATTATGTTTTAAATTATTAGGTTTACTAAAATATGATTAAAAATAATAAAAAAACAATGGGATATTCTTTTAAATCCTACAGTGAGTTTCTATAAAACCAATATATTTTTAATTGAATTGTAGGTGTATGCAATAATTTATCCTTGTTTATACAATAGCATCTTCACATCCAAATTTACAATAATAATAATAATAATAATAATAAGAGGAGTGAGCTAAAACAGTTATCAAGTTCTCATTCATAATTTCATGTGATTTCATTCGTTTAGTAATAATATTTTAGTAGAGCACCCAACTGCCATTCCATGGGGACAGCTAAACTGAAAACAAGTATGCAGTGCCATTTCTAATAATAATAATTTAAAAAATATGATGATTTTGATATCTAATTGCTTGTTTTTAAGGGTGTAATTAATTGAATTTGAATCGATATAGTATTAAATTTAAATTTGAGTTCAATTATAAATTCGAGATTTGAAATTTAATTTGAACTCAAATGAGTTTTATTTTTTAATTCGAATTTGACTCGATAATGAAATTGAGTTATTTAATATCACTTGATTAAATTCGATTAACGTATAAAAATGAGTTTGATTATTATATTTGACAAAATTTTGATTATTTGTGCTTGAGCTTAAACTTGAGTTTGAGATATTTTATTAATTAAAATATATTAAAATATAAAAATTCAGTTAAATTTGTGAGTTATTAAAATCAAGTATAAAAATGCTTAAACTTGATTTAATCGATAAATTAAATTATTTAAATTTGAACCTGATTCGATAATAATAAAATTAAATTTAAATTTTATTTGAATCAAATATAAATTATTTACAAATACTAATATATTATTTACACATTTAATTATTATTCTTCGTCTAAGCAAATTACTCATTTTCACTCATTTTTTGTTAACCTTAAATTGAATAATAAAAAAAGAAATATTTACTCTTTGCTATCTATTTCAATACCCAAGTAAAGGTCTATTTGTTTTACATATTTCTGTACATCCATGATCCATTGGTAAAATTCATTGAAAAAAAATTCTTACCTGCTAGACCTACAAACGCAAATAGAAAACCAATGGAAAGTTTTGACAAAGAGATGGAGAATTATCTAAGTATAATATAATTTAAAGCTAAATCATCTTTCAATAGTAAATATAAATGTATGCCTTTTGAGACCAAATCTCCGTTTTTCTCGAGGAAAAAATTTCAAATATACCAGAAAGAGAACTGATAGCTTGACCAAATTCCAATTAAGTGGACAAAATTATTGAGATTTGACTTCGATTTAGTTCAATTCAACACATGATTTAATAAACAAAAAATATGTTTATTTAATATTAATTTTAAAGTATTAACATTTAAAATAATTTTTAAAATTTATTGTTTATTGGACTCGATGGATCGAGTCAAGCTTTCAACAAAAAGTTTCGAAAGTCAACTGAATTTGGTTCCGTTTATTAACATCTTTAATTGATAGTTTTTCTTTTTTAACATACAAATATATATATATATATGAAAAACTTTAAAGGAGAATCAATAAATCAGAACTTAAACCTCATCCCTTATAAACTGTTAAAATCAAGTTTTGATATTTAAAATTAAAGGTAAAATATAATTACTGAATATAATTTACTTATAATTTTTTATTATAATTTTAATTATTCAATTACATTCAAATTTATGTCGAGAAATTAATCCATTATTTATAAACATAAATTTCACATAAAATTTTTTATAAATTATATCTATCTTTGAATTTTAATTAATTAATTTAAGTACAATTATTATAAATGATATATTCTTGATATCTCATATTTACCATAATGTTATGAATCTTTTTATTTAAAAAAAAGTGCTACTAGTATTTGAACACCAAGTTTTCATTGGATAAATAATGTATTAAATTCAAACATTTAAGATTATTTACTTTCTATGTACCTTTTTTTTATTTATAAAATATTACGAATAAAATAAAAATAAATTAAATTACAATCTATTTTTTTATATATAAAAATATCAAATTACAACATTGTAAAATTAAGTTCACACATTTTAATAATTTTATGTACAACCAATATTTTAACAATTCCACCATCATATTTATTCATATCTGCCGTGCACACATCTCGATCAAAAGTATTATTTTTTAATATATTTCACAATCAAAATTTTTATATTGAACAAATAGATAAGTATTTTTAATTAACTCAAATTTTGACATACATACCTACATGAATAGACTATGAAATACAATAACAGGGTTGAATGAGTATAATTCATACAAAAAGTTATAAAAAAAATTATAAAGTAAATTAATTTAAATTCCTCGTATCATTTCTATTTTGTTAAATTAGAGTCTCAATCAGTTTGATTAGGAATGTGTGGCCGTATTTGTATCTGTCATTGGACTGTTGATTAGAAGAATTATGAGCAATTAAAATCGGCGGATGATTGGACAAATCATCCCAGTTCCATCCAATTAGCTGCTGGAATGAAATTGAAAGCAACTTCGCACCCATCCTTTCGCCAGCGATAAAGAACTTAATAATAATAATAATACTTTAATTGTTAAATCAATTCCTTAATCAACGTTGAAACCAAGTCAACATCCGGCAAATGATAACAAAGTCCTAATCAGTTCTCAAAACAAGCTGGCATGAAAAGGAAAACAAGCTGGCATTGAAAAGGAGGAATGCTCTTACAATTCAATCAATGAAGCAAGCGGAGCTGCAAATGAAAGGAAAGAAAAGAAATTCCAATGGCATAATAATTCCAATTCCAATGATTAATCAGCTTCATCCAATTTAATTAAAACCCCCCCAAACCCTAACCTATCCCTGTCAACACTGAAAAAAAGCTCATCAGGAATTTGGAACCATTCACTCATGGAGAGTGCCCAAAATATCCTCATCTCTATACAAGTGAAACCTGCACATAGAAAACAGAACCCACCAAGAATCCCAAATTAAAAAACCGAGTTTGATTTATCCAAAAAAAAGAAAGCTTAATGAACATACTCCTTCTCGCCAAGCTTGACTTGGGTACCCCCAAACTCAGGCAAAAGAACGGTGTCACCTTCTTTAAAAGGAACTGGGATCGTTTTCCCTTCCTTTTCCCTTGCTCCTGGGCCCACGGCCACCACTCTCCCGGAGTTCAACTGATTTTTCAATCAAATCAATCAGAACCGTTTAATCACAAAAAAAAAAAAAAAACTAAAAAAAGAGAAAGAAAAATTAAAGTGAAAAAATTACCCTGGTGGATTTCTCAGGGAGGAGAATGCCAACGGTGGTTTTGGAAGGGGGAAGGATTTTCTCAACGAGAACTCTGTTAAGGGTTGGAATCAAACGCTTTGCCATTTTATGGTTAATTTGAAATTCTTGCGGTTTTTCTCTGATGCAAGAGGAATGAAGATGGAATTTGTTTGTATTATAGGAGAAGGAGGATGATGGATAGTTTTTATTGGCTGGGTTTAAAGGTCTGGAGGATTATAGAACCTTCTAGGCGTTAGGGTTTTAGGGATTTTTTTTTAGGGTTTAAGAAAGGAGGAGGAGAATGGATCGCGTCGTGTACTCGACTCGTGTTTTTTTTTTTTATGCGGTAACTGGTCCATAGCCCAACCTGTTGTCCGATTTAACGAACCAGAAAGCCCAAGTTTACTGTTAGAAAAGTGAAGTCAGTTAATGTTCCATTCCATGTAACATCCACTTTCTACTATGCCTCGATATCAAAGCGGCAAAGCCCATAACCACGATCACAAAAAGAACTCCTAAATTGGTAAATGCTAATTTTTAAGTCTCATGTCACGGGCTACTCAACAATACATGCATACGTGTGTGTACGTGTATATATATATATATATATATATATGAAAATTAAAAAGAGAGGCATGCATTATTATAAAGTACATTAAAAATAACTAAACAACTAATAGAATAAAATAAATATAGTTTGTTGTTCATAATTAATAATTGAAAATTTTAAACTTCATAAATAAATTTAAAAATTATTGTATTATACATTCTTTTATTATATTAGAATTTGTTTTCATAGGCGTTACACTTGAATATTAATTATTTTATCAAATTTTAAACATATAATTATATATTTTGTTACACAAATAAAATTAATAAAATTTATATATTGAACAACTATGTACATTTTTATTAGTTTAAAAATTTTCTACATCCCTATCTTTATATATATTAATAATAATTATTATTAATTATACATTTTAGATATAATATATATAGATATCGATTTTTAAAAAAATTTTTTAACATAGCCTAGAAGGCTATGTAATAACTCTCCAACCCATCGGTAAAATAAAAAAACCTTTTTCAATGGTGTATGAGATATCTATATTATATAATATCTGAAGGCACTATTTCGTTTGAAGGTTAAATTTTATTTTATTTTATTATTGTTTATTTATTTTTTTAGTTAGAAAAAAGAGAATTATAATTGGTTAATAGATTGATCGGTGATGAGATTGAGTTGAACTAGTATCATTAGTTGATAATTCAATTTGAATGGAAAGGATTTTTATTTAGTTTCAATAAAATGAAAAGATAAACATGATTTAAAGATTTTAATCACAAGTGAAACTCTGTTCGAGTGAGGGAACTATATTATAAAAAGACATGTAATCATCAACACAAAAAAAAATACAACAATATTAAGAGCAAATGGATAACAATTATAGAATCAACAGGAAAAAAAAATACACAGAGAGAAAAAAAAAATACAACAACTCAAACTGGAAATCAAGGAAAAAAACAAACTAGTGCATAAAAGGTTTAAGTTTGGAGATATTGTGGCTCTTGGATTTTTTTTTTTTTTGGAAAAAAGATAGATTGATTTTGCTTGAAGAGGATTTTTGAAAAGAAAAGCTAGTAGTGGTTTGGAAGAAATTTGGTATTTTTGGGGAGTTGATTCAATTTAATTTGTGATGAACTAGTTGATTTGGGGTGTTTTCGCAAGTTTTTTGAAAATCTATAAAATCTACAAATTTTCTAAATTTCGTTGGTTTTTGCAATTTTCGATGGGTATTCTAACAAAAAAATCCAAAGTGAAATCCCAAAAATTGGTTGAGATTCATCCAGTATTCTTCATATTCCATAGAGAGAGCCAAAGAAATGAAAAAAGAGAGAGAGAGAAGAGAGGCAAAAATCTGAAATAAAAGAAAAAAATTAGGCTTTTATACTGAGGTGATATGACACCATTTTGACCATTATAAAGTGCAAGATCCACTTGTTTTCATTTAGTTGACCTGACCTGTGCCACTCTTGACCCACGTTTTTTATATTGATTTTCCTAAGTCGGCGAATCTTGAGTTGCACTGTTTTCTTGAGCCGTTGAGCCAAGCTGCCCCTTTGTGCCTAGAGTTGTACTTTTTAAGTTACTGAACCAAGCCACCTTTGTGGTAATTTTTTTTATTTTTTATTTTATTTGTTGGTTTGTTTATTTGTTTTGATTCATTTTATTTATTTTTGAAATATTTAACATGATTAAATTTTTAAGAAAAATTAGAAAAAAGTTATTTTATAAAAATATATTATAAAAAATATAAAATCAATCTTTAATAAGATTTTGAGAATAAATAATAAATTCCAATGATGAAATTCTAAAAAATCAAAAATGGTTAATTTTTTAGAAATTTCTAGGTGAGAAATCTTTTTAAATTTGACCCAAATAGAAGAAAAATTTAGATCAAGTTTCAATAAAAAATTAATATTTGTTTTCAAATTATAAAAAATAAAAAAATACATAAGCAAATTTGATAAAATTTTGGGTTTGAATTAATAATTATCTAAAGATGAGATTTTTAAAAATTTCAAATGGTAAATTTTTTAAAAAAATCTCTAGGTAAAGAATTTCTCAAAATTTAACTAAAATGGTAGAATGATTTAGATGAAATTTTGATAAAAATAATTGTATTATTTTCCAAATAAAAAAATTGTAAATTAAACAAATTTAAAAATATAACTTAATATTTTCCTTTTTTAAAAATGATTAATGAATAGAGATCGAATTTTAGGAAAAATAATTCTATATTTAACCAAAATTGTGAAAAATTTAAAAATAAAACTTCTAAATTAAAAAAAAATTTCGAGAATGAAATTCTTAGTAATCGCAAATAGATGATTATCTAAGACATTTGTAAGTGAGAAAATATTTTTAATTTTGATCCAATAGTGAAAGAATTAGATATATTTTCAATAATAAAAAATTTAATAAAAAATGATTAAGTTTTTCGACAATGAAACCTCTTCAAAAAACAAATGGGACTCTTGAATCCTCTTAAAGTAAGAAAGTATTTTTAAGAATTTTACTAGATAGATAGAGAAATCTTAAAAGTTATTTTCAATTTTTTAAACAATAAGATAAAAAACCATTAGAACCAAGATGATTGTTAAGATATTTTTAAAATGAATGGCACCATTTTAGAATGGACATGTGGGGGGGTACTATAACCTTCCCTACATTGTTAACCAAAAGATAAACATGATCAAGGAAAGGTTACGAGCAGTTGCGGGAGTCAATTTCTATGGTTCCATAAATGCTGTTAGGTTTTGTTTAGTCCCAAACATTGTTATCCCTAAAAAATTTAAAGTTTCAAAGTTCGAGAAGTATGATGGTATAAAGTGTCTGATAATTCATGTTACCATATAGTATTGAAAAATGACTACCTATACTAGTGATGAAAAATTGTTGAAACATGTATTTCAAGATAACTTTATTGATTCTATAGCAATATGGTATGTCTAGCTTGATCGATCCCACATTAACTCTTGGAAAGAGCTAGCCCATGACTTTATTAATCAATAACACCATATAATAGATTTAATTTCTAATCACATTTTCTTACAGAATATAAAAAGAAGGTGATCGAGTCTTTTAAAAAGTACGTCCAAAGGTGAAAGAATATAGTTGCCCAAGTTCAGTTGCCTTTGACTGAAAAAAAAAGGCTATGGTGCTATTTGTAAGTACTTTGGAATCTCTTTACTATGAAAAGATGATAAAAAATACAACAAAAAACTTCACTGATATGGTAATCTCAGGTGAAATTATTAAAAATGCTATTAAGAGTGGCAAGCTTAAAAAAAAAAAAAAACCACCAACAAAAAGAAGGTTGTCTCAAAAGAAAAAAAATTAAAGCCTAAGCTATAAATTTTAATGGGCAACAATTTAGAAGCTATACTTCATATCTACCATCTATTCATCTTGTTTACTATCTTACAGTTAATAGTATTACACAGGCCTCTTACCAATCATATCCATAACCATCTTACCCAACAACCTACCAACCAGCCTTTCAAGTACCTGTATATAGGTCTAGTCCTATCACTACATTAGCTTAAAGGCCTAACAACCAAACGAGTGGTATGAGAAAATCTCAAAATGATAAAAAAAAGGCTCACATTGATCATATCCCTATGACTTACATTGAATTATTTTTAAAATTGGTTAAAAACAACTTAGTGTTACTAGTCATTCTAAAACCATTGAAGTCACCTTATCTTAAATGATATGATACTAATGCCATATACGATTATCACAATAGGAACATGGGCCACTCTATAGAACTTGCCTTGTTTTCAAGCACAAAATGCAAAATTTGATATGAAAAAACTTGGTGAGCTTTAACGAATCAGGAGACTAGATGTCAATAAAAACTTTTCCCTTGATCACACAAAGGCATGATTTTGAAAAGGATAAAGATATTAAGGCTAGTTGAAAGTTGCTTATCATTTTAAGATTTCTTATAAAGTAATGTTAGGATTTTTTTATGTAATAAAATTTCATTTTTTATCATTTTAATAAAAAGCAAGTTGATGCATTTCATTTTCTCTTTCATCCAAGCCATTATTCTATGCTTTATTTTTTTTTTTTTCATATCTTTTTATTCCCATTCTCAAATTCTAAATGATGAATGTTTAGACAATGATAATAATAATGCTAGGATTTAAATTTGAAAACCCATTCATATTGATCTGTGAAAACTATTTAAGTAAAAGAAGTAAGTTACTAGTAGAAATAAAATAGATATGTCTCGAAAGCATGTTATCTTTTATAATAATCTATAAGTTTGTCTTTGTTCAATAAATGATCTTTAAATAAAGTACTTATATTTTAGATGAGAAATAACCATATTTCGTTTGTCATTCATAAAATTATCTATTGCTACCCATTTTATGCCTATTATGATTTTTTTTCTAAAACCCCAAATCAAAGATCATCTTTCACACTAGAGGGTAAGTTTTGAGAAAAGACCTATTTAAAAAAAATAAAAATCAAAAGATTACAAAAGGTCTTAGAGAATGGGGAGTAAAAAAAAAAAAAGGAAAAGCAAATGCCACAAATGACCTGGGGTAAAATAATGAAAATCTTTTTATAAAGAATAAGATGAATGAGAAAAAATTAATGGAATGGGACAAAGTGCCAAGTTGCATCACATGATAGAGAATTGAGCCTTTAGTTTTGAACATTTTAAACATATGTTTTGAGCCTATTTTATCTATTTTTTCATAATCCTTTATCATACCTTATAGA